AAATGAGAAATATAGATAGACATAGATGATATATATATATATACATATATATATATTCTCTCTCTCTCTCTGACTACACTAGTGTGTGTGTGAGAGAGAGAGAGAGAAGAGAGAGAGAGAGAAGAGAGAGAGAGAGAAGCGGGTTGCAAGAGAGGAAGATATCGCACAAATGAGAAATATAGATAGACATAGATGATATATATATATATATATACATATATATATATTCTCTCTCTCTCTCTGACTACACTAGTGTGTGTGTGAGAGAGAGAGAGAGGAGAGAGAGAGAGAAGAGAGAGAGAGAGAGGAGAGAGAGAGAGAGAGAGAGAGAAGCGGGTTGCAAGAGAGGAAGATATCGCACAAATGAGAAATATAGATAGACATAGATGATATATATATATATAATATATATATATATACATATATATATATTCTCTCTCTCTCTCTCTCTCTCTCTCTCTCTCTGACTACACTAGTGTGTGTGTGAGAGAGAGAGAGAGAAGCGGGTTGCAAGAGAGGAAGATATCGCACAAATGAGAAATATAGATAGACATAGATGATATATATATATATACATATATATATATTCTCTCTCTCTCTCTCTCTGACTACACTAGTGTGTGTGTGAGAGAGAGAGAGAGAGAAGAGAGAGAGAGAGAGAAGCGGGTTGCAAGAGAGGAAGATATCGCACAAATGAGAAATATAGATAGACATAGATGATATATATATATATATATATACATATATATATATTCTCTCTCTCGCTCTCTCTGACTATACTAGTGTGTGTGTGAGAGAGAGAAAGAGAAGCGGGTTGCAAGAGAGGAAGATATCGCACAAATGAGAAATATAGATAGACATAGATGATATATATATATATATATAATATATATATATATATACATATATATATATTCTCTCTCTCTCGCTCTCTCTGACTATACTAGTGTGTGTGTGAGAGAGAGAAAGAGAGAGAGAGAGAAAAAAATGAGACAGCCATAAAATAGCTGGCTGTCGCACACATCCAGGGTGTTAATAGGCTATCAGCTTATAGAGCAACTACTTGCCAAGGATATGGACTCCCCCCCATCCTGATTTTGATCGAGTTCTCTGTTATGAACTTGTCAAGGAGAAAGAATCAACATCCTATGCCTAGTCTAAAGGCAGAAGCCGAGAGGGTCATTGCAGCCATCACTCCTACTACACGAACGGATCAGTCGATCTCTTAAGCCACACTGCAGGTGCTGGCTTTGCAGGAAATGATGCCACAAAATCCATGAGGGTAATAGACAACGCCTCCTTACTACAGGCAGAGGCAGTTGCGATCATAGGAGCTTTAGCCCACGCGTCCCTGAGGGGAGGACATGTGGTCATACATAGATTCCAGGGCAGCCATTGACTATCTACGGCACAGCTTAGCCAAAGACAACATCTACCTCCTGACCACAGTGCATACCCTAACGCAGAGGATTATTGCTCAGGGTAGAAGAATAATCATAAACTGGGTCCCCAGCCACAGACATCAGAGGGAACGAGTTTGCTGACATTGGCAGGGGTATGTCCCCATATCTCATGATCATATAACCAAGCCAAAAAATCTTAAGGCACAGGTCCATTGCCACAGCTCTTGCCTTTCTCCCGCAGCTTCACAGAGAGGAAACGAGACCCCTTCCCCTCGGCCAGATGGTACTCAGACGCCACAGCCTACGAGCCACTGGCACTCTCTGAAACACTCAGTAGAGGTACCGAAGTCATTCTTCACAGAATCAGACTGGGTTACCAATGCGCGTGGTAAATCATGCAAACAACTGACTATACAGACAAGTGTTACATGCATTGTGGCGAGCCGAACCTCACCCTGGTACGTTACTTACAGAGTTGTGAGCACACACAATTTCTGAGACAGGGACCCCCACATCAGCCGCCGGGTGGTAAAGAGATTATGTCGCATAACTTATATAATGGCGGCTGGAGCGTCTGCTGGCAATCCCGCCACCATGGTAAGCATCGAGTGTCAGAGAGAGAGAAAAAAATGAGACAGCCATAAATAGCTGACACAAGCCGGGTCATATATATGGAAGGCCCGGACGAAGCTAGATCTTCGCAAATCTCAATAATAATAATAACCGAGATCAGCATTCCCGACCCTCCAAACGGCCACGACAACAGCAGCAGCAACACAAGGACTGCCCAGCCTTTTGCCGTCTGGGGAGCACTCTTCTTCACCCTTCAGCACACAGTTATACCCTGAGGGCACTCACACCCATAGCAATCACTCCAGAAATATATATAGAGATATAGTTGACAACCATCTACCGCAATACCACTTGTCTACTTGTCCACACACACACAAAAAGATAAATAAACGATAAGAAAAGAAACAAAAAAATATGATAATCCAAAATACTGGGTACTAGTCACGTTATAGCAGCTGCTAGATTCAAAGGCAAGACAATATAACCCGTATCATCATGACAAGAGTTATGTAAAACGTGATTCGTGGCATCAGAGGTGTTTACGGGATAATAAGAACCTCGAAGTCTGAATGGAGAATGTTCTTGCTTATGATTATTATTGCTGTTGGGTTATGATTAGTCTTATTATTGTTAATTTGGG